CTTCAGAATTGTGCAATTATGTATTCAACTCATGATATTAAAATAGCAAGTAATTGATGACTAGCCCATCCATTGTTTAGTGTAAATTTAAAATGTTTTGTGTTTTTTTAATAGATTCTGAGGAAGATCCTCTTCCAGAAGATTTGAGGTAATGTATATTATGTAAAAACAAGCCTTTTTAGTTCTTTCATTTCAAAGTGTGTTGGTTCAATTCATATTCTGGTTGATGATTGTCAATACATTAAGTCACAAGTATTATTTTTTGTGTTGAACTCATAGAAAGTTGATACATGTATCATTTTTAAAATTCTTTTATTTTACTGAGTTTTTAAACTGACTGTCAGTTTCAAGGTAACAATTGATGCTTGTTAAAATTACTTGTACATGAAAAACATATACAAATGTTAAATGATTAAGAAAATGAGTTGTCTCTAGCTTGAAAAAAATGTTTAATGCAGACGCAAAATATTTCGTGAAATGTTAAATGACTTGAACAAGAAAAACATTGTTTTACTTTAATTTATATTTTATTTTATGTTGATGTTTTAAAGGAAAAGTGGCAAGAAAAAGAAAGATTTATCCAAATCAAAGTCCAAAAAATCGTCTTACTTTGATGAATCAGGTAATAACACAGATGACGCACATAGATAACTAATGATTCAGGGGTGGCGGACACAAAACATTTGAGGGGGCCTGGCCCCACACACACAACGGCATCGGATACGCTCAAAACATTAAAAAAATTTTTTTCGTCATAGCAAAATGCATTTGCAAATAGTTGATGTGACGTCATCACTAGATGTATAAGTCTATGATTGTGCTCCCCCTCCTCCCACCAAAGTCAATTTGGGCTCTGCCTCCACTGTAATTATTACATGATTATATGTGCTGGAATTTGTTATTTGATTCTAGAAGGTGAAGACGATGAGGCCCCCCTGAAGATTAAAAAGTTATCCAAGTCAGCAGAAAAATTAAGCCATAAAGAGTTAAAACAAACAAAACCTGACAAGAAACTAAAGCCGGTTACACCTAAAAAGCAAACAGTTAGTGTTGATGATTTCTTTGGTTCTGCTCCAATACACAGATCCACAGGAAAACCAGCCAAGAGAAAACAGGTTCGTTTGGCTTCTGTGTGGCCTGCATCAGGCACAGTTTATCATGTATTTACTTTGTGTGTTTCTACCACTTTCTGGATATTTTTATGTAGTGCACTGGTGATGATGTTTTGAATAATTTGCTCAAAAAGTATAATATGGGTATGGTTAATTTCATACTTATTGATTAGCCATCAGAAAGTGACACACCAGATAAGAAAGAATCTTGTAGCTCATCACTTTCGAAAGAGTCATCACA